GCTCCAGGGGTAACCCTGCTACTGGTCCAGAGACCCAGCCCTCCTCCTCCTCCAAGTATTCTTACACTGCTCTGTAGTGGTGCTGCAGTGTGCCAAAATAATGCAGTGGTAGCGTGGTGGGCCACACCTCTGGGGTGCTGATGTCCTGGCTCCATGGCCCCCGATCATTTAATACAGACCACACAAGTTCACGTTTGCTGTGCCCTCGATGAGTGCTGGGCTTGGCGGGAGATGCTTCCCATGTCTTCACTGAGCTCTCTGAGGACAGTGCCAGGAGCACGGGCTCCCCACTTTCACAGAAGGTGAAGCAGGCACAGAGAAGGTGACCTGAGGGGGTTGTGGAGGAAGCAGCAGAGCTGGCAGTGACTATGGCGTCACAGGCAGGTGAGTCTGCGCCTTGATTCAGCTACCTGCTCCATTCTCAGAAGGGCAAAACCTTGGGGCTTGGACTTTTTTCCCTCATGGCAGACCAGGAAGATCCCCACCAGTTTTTTAGAGCAGAAGGCCCAGTTTAGAAAAAAGATTTCTTTCCCCAAATGTCCTTTATCTGTGGTTCTGGGAACTTCAGGTCTGAATGAACCAGAGGCAAATGGTCTGGGAACCTGGAGTAGAGATGATGAGAGCCTGGGCTGGGCCTGGGGGAGCCAGCTGCAGCCAGGGACTGAGATGGGCAGGGACGGGGTTGGGAGGAGGAGACAAAGGTGGCTCAGCAGAAGGTCAAGTGCTCTGTGGTCCCAGGGCTGGTTGACGTTTAGCTCTGTCTCTGAGACATTGGCATTTGGAAAAACTGTGCTTATATTATAGGTAACTATTCCCATCCACCTTTCACTTGGGGCTGAGGGAGTCAATCCTGACACAAGAGCCTAAGTGTTTTCTGGGACACTCACCTCACCAGCTCATTCCTCCACTGGCCACAGACATCAGAACTGGGCTTTGCTGGACACAGGGACTACTCAGTCCCTCTTGCCTTGGCTTCGCTCTCCCTCACTTTCTCTGTGCCATCTCCCCGTGACTCAGCTTTTTATTTTCCCCCCTTTGCTGTGATAAGATTCGCTGACAAAAGCAACTGAAAGGGAAGAGAGTTTATTCCAGCTCAGAGCTCAAGGTTACAAGGCCATCATGGTGGAGGATGTCCCAGGGGAGGCGCACGAGGCAGCAGGTGGTATATGCTGCTCTACTCACTCTCTTCCTTTCCCTTCCATCCTCCCTCTCCTATCTCTGGCGCCCTCTGTTTCTCTATCTCCACAGCTCTGTCCCTTGCCTCAGTTATGGCTACTCCAGTTCTTTTGGCACTCCCCTGAATGCTGATCAGTCTGTCCCCTTTCTGTCCCCTTGACCCCCATCTGGACTGCTGATCTTTCTTCCCTCAAGTGGCACCCTTTCCCCCAACTCCTCATATGTTCAAGAATCCAGCCCTCTCCATGCCTGACCCCGGGGCAGCCTGACCCACGTGCCCTAACAGCCCAGGGTGACCGATGCCATCCCTTCCCTCTTTGCTCCTCCCAATCCTCCACCCACTTGTTTCTCAGCCTTCATCTCCCCTTCAGGTTTCAGCATCAGGTCAGGGCTCCCGAAGGAGGTGTTCCTGGCACTGGCCTGCCTACACACATCTTTCAGGAGTGCTATGTATACATACTCTTAATAAAACCTGCAGCTTTTCCGAATCACAAGGTGCCCTGTGTGTCTGTCTCATGGGGTCCTTGGACCCTGTTCTTTGCTCTGTGTCTCCCTAGAGACAAGGTAGCTCAGGTAGAGCTTGTGGCCAGAGTCACAGACACCTGTGGAGGACTACCAAAAGCCCTAGGTAGTACAAAACAAAGCAAGCTATGCCTGACTGTCCATAGGAGCCTTGGGGGACAGAGAGGTGAGTCACAGTGAGCCTGTGGGCCCAGAGACTGGTGTCCTGTGCTAAGGAGGGAGGACAGTCACCGCAGGCTTGAGTCTTTCCAAAGCTCCTGGCAGCCAGGCAGCCGGAAACCAAGTTCCAACAGAGGGATACAGGTTGTGAGTGTCCCTGAATTCCTGCCCCAGGCTGGAGTTCCAGGCCCTGGCTGGAGGAGGCTTAGAGTTTGTGGGATAGATGGAGGCGCCTATGGGAGATGGAATGCAAAGCCAAAGCCGATGGCTATCCCTCCTGCTGTAGCTCCGGAGCCTCCCAGCCAGCCCTCCCTAGTCCTCCACCACTTCCCATGGTTCATCTGCTGACTACTGAGCTATTGATGCACTTCAGGGGTCAGCGGAGCCCAGCAACCCTGCTGTTAACAGGGCGAAGCAAGTCCAATTTCATGCGTGCGTGGGCTTCCCTCGAAGGAGGCAAGGAGAGAGAACGGACCTGTGTATTAAAATGTCTTGGGAAAACAGAAACCTCAGGAGTCAGGGGCCTTATATAGAACTGCTGGGCAGCAGGAGTGGCAGGAGGTTCCTGGGAGACAGGGCTTGGAGGAAGAAGGAATAGGTGAAGGAGGCTGCTGGCACGGGTGGTGGCTGCCAGCTCACCCATCTTGGATGTTTACATGCTCATGATGTCTGAGAGAAGCCCCAACTACGCTACTGTTGTCGACTGACTGACAACCTCAGGAAGGCAGGTACTTACTTCATCAACCAACTCTTTCTGATGTATTCAAATCACCAGTCGGTGGGCAGAAGAATTTGAGCTTAAATGAAGGTAAAAAGATACGAGGAAAAACCATGATTCTAGAATATCAAGTTCAAGGGCTGAATATTGGGGAACTGCAGAGGTGGCTCAGCACTGGCTGAGACTCTTGCAGAGGACCTTGGTTCAGTTCCAAGCACCCACGTGGCAGCTCACAGGTGTGTGTAACTCCAGTTCCAGCGTATCTGATGCCCTTTTCTGGCCTCCTTGGGCACTGGGCGTGCTTGTGGTGCACAGACATACATGGAGGCAGAATACCCCTACAAAGATAAATAAATCTAAATAAATAAATGGTTAGTTGTTGGGTTGTGGAGGTAGCTCAGTGGTGAAAGTGCTTGTCACATAAGCATGAGGACCTGAGTTCGAAACCCCAGAAATCACTAAAAGCTGATCATGCCGTGAGTGTTTGCAATCTTTGCTATTACTGACAGATGAAACAGGGATGGAACAGGAGAATAAAAACCCATAAATGCACATGTAGGAACACACACACACACTCAGAAAGTAAAATACAAAGGCTAATTGTCTTTTCTGAGTAACTTAGGCTAACCTCAAAGTAACTACAGAGCTGAGGATAGCCTTGAACTCCCCATCCTCTAGACCCTATCTCCTGAGTGTTGGGATCATGGTTCTGCGCCACCATGCCTAGCCTAAGCTTCAAATCAGCACCAAGGGCACCTGTGCAGTCTTGCTCACCCCACTCCTTTCTCTATATCCGTGTGACTTCTCAGTTCCCTGCATCAAAGGAGGACTCTGGTTTTCTTCTGAACACAACAGAAGGGATGATGTGTCAGTTTCCCTGGGGCCTCACAAGACCCGGTGTGCTTCAGCTCTTTCATTCCTCCACCCTCACTGAGCTGACCTGATGGAGCCAGGGAGACCACATGGCACAGAGCTGAGCTATCCCAGCCAAAGCCGCCAGGGGCCAGCTGGTCCCCAGCTACCCCGAGCTCTTAGGGTGCAAAAGCAGATCTATCTGAGAGCCACTAGACTTGGTCCACATCAGCAACTCTGCTCAGGTGCTGGCGCCAGGGCATCTTTGGATGTCATGATTCAGCCTGGGGCCGTGACCTCTTTGTCCACCCTGGATGCCCCAGAGAGCCAGGGTGTTAGTGTGTAGCTAGTGTATAGCTAGTGTGTAGCCAGTAACCCAGCTCCAGATAGATCTCATGTGTTTAGTGAGAGAGACTGGGGGCTCACTGCAGCATCCCCATCCCATGCAGTCTCATCCCAACCCATTCCATGCCATCCTATCCCTCTGATAACCCTCATCATCTTCATGGTGCCTCTCAGGTGTTGACCACAGCTGGGGGCAGACGCCAACCTCATCCCTCCCTTGGCCATGGAATGTGCTTTGGCACAACCAGTGCCTGAAGACCTGACCCAAGCAGAGGTTTTAAATATGCTGGCTTGGGTGTTCCTCTAGTTCTATGTTCTATGATCCGCCGTGCTCTAGTTAGGATGGTCACTGGCTCCCTTAGGCCCATGTGCATAAGGCTTGGTTCCCAGGATGGCCCTGTGGAGAAGTGGTGGGACCATCAACAGGTGGGGCGTCTCCTCAGGGGGGACGTGGGACCTAGACTCTTCCTCTCTGTCTGTTCCCACCTCTTAGTGGATGTATCTCCGCAGCTCTGTAGCCAACTGCCCTGATGTATGGCTTCAGGAGAGGCCCAAAGCAATGAGGCTGCTGGGCCGTAGGCTTTTATCTTCAGAACTGTGAGCCTTTCCTTTTGAAAAGGAAAAGGGAAAAGGAGTCTTTCCTTTTGATAAGTAAATTATCTCAGGCATTTTGTTACAGCGATGGAAAGCTTACTGGTACACGTTGTAAGAAAGGTAGCTACTGCCCCCTTTCCTCCAGCTCCTGGATAAACACACATGGAATTTACAAGCTCAGAGACAAGGCTAGACTCCAGTCTGGAGTGTAGCCTGTTGGAGGAGAATAGGAGAAGCGGTGTGTGTGTGTGTGTGTGTGTGTGTGTGTGTGTGTGTGTCTGCTGTCTGAAGCTAAGCGGCCTGGATGAGGTCATCTGGACCACTGCTATCTATACCTTAAGTGCCCGTGCTTGCTGTTGCATGCCACCAAGATTTCAGGTGACTCGTTAGGCAGCACCGTCATGGCTACAGCAGACTGTCAGATTTCCCCTGAGGGACCTTGGCCACTCCATACCCAGCTGTTTTTAGGACGGAATGAGAGTTGCATGTCCACCCATTCTTACAAGAATGCAGGCATTCCAACTCCTTTGTCATCCTCTCTCTGTGCCTGTCCCAAGACTGGATGCTAGCAGGTACCCAGTAACTTCTTCTAGGCCAAGGAAAAGCACAGAGCTGCACCCCGAGGTGGGGAAAATTGGTTTGTTTGTTTGTTTAATTAAACCCAGTGAAGAAGAGCCAAGACATGGGCAAAGACTAAGAACAAGACTGGAAATAGTTTAGAAAAGAAATGAAAATCGATCGCAGAGATGCCAGGCCGCCAGAACACCAGGAGGAGGGCAGCATCTTCACGTGAGCTCCAGGACCACTGTCAGGGCAAGCACCAGGGTGAGCCGGACACCAGCGGGGCCGGAAGCAGAACCTGTGAGAGGGCAGAGCTGGTGTCAGGGCTGCAGCCTGCCTGTGTGGTGGGCTCATCGGTGTGAAACTGTGGGGTAGATGGTTCCCACCAAAGATGCTTGGTAGGGGGCAGCGTCAGGTGGCCGGGTTTGACCCTCAGCTCTGCTGTCCGCCTGCTGTGGGTCCAGTGACCTGTCCCCATGCAGGCCTGCTGGGCTGAGGCCACCAGGATGGTAACCAGTGGTTACCAGGAGTGGGGAGCTTCCCTGAGAACTGTGATTTTTGCTGTGTGGGCGTAGCATCTGCATCCCACAGGAAGTTCTAGGTTGGGGTGGCGGAGGGAGCAGCCTGGGGCATCTGTCTATGTTCTGAAGTGTCCCATGGAGTTGTCAGAGGCCCACACCACAGTCATTTCCGGACACGGCCTCTTGAGGTCTGAGTAGCACTGAGAGGAGACACCCTTGGTCCGTGACATCCCATTGGTTGTAGAGCCTTCCTTGCTTAGTGCCTGCCTTTGCCTAACTTTGACTCTGCCTGTCTGAGTTGACGGCTTCCTGGAGGAAGCAGAGGGAGCAGGGGAGGCCATTGGTGCCTCAGCAACAGGTGATTCCTGAGGCCTTGAAAAGCACTCGCTTCTAAGCTCGCAGTCTTGAGGGTGGACACTTACCACGGGAGTCCTCCGTTCCTCTTGGAATATTTGGGTTTTCTGTCAGAGAGAAACAGAGAAAGCAGAGTGGGTAGCCCTGAGCTTGGAGCACAGAGGGCCTTCCCCAGGCACCTGCTATAAGGTATTGTACACCCTGGGATGGTGCAACCAAGCCACCTAGTCTCTCTGTATCTGACCAGGTTACAGGTGGGGAAACTGAGGCTTAGCTAAGTGGCAGAGCCGGAATCTCTCTGACGACAAAGCCATTGTAGTGAGTGGATGGAGTTACCTCTTTGAGGCAAATTTAAGGGGCTTCTGTGGACAGTTTGGAGCCCGGGCCCATCCTCGGGTGACCCTGTGGGGTCCCTACCGAACACGATGAGCCGAGTGTGCGTATCCGTGGAGCCCAGTGGGTTCTGGGCAGTGCAGCGGTACATGGAGCCATTGAGCTCAGCGGGAACCCGCTCCAGCACCAGCTCTTTTCCGTCAAACTCAGTGCTGCCATCCAGCAGGCGGCTACCCACTCGCGTCCACGTGAACATGGGTTCCGGGAAGACCTCATTCTGTGGACCAGAGTAAAGCACAGCGGGGTCACGGGGGAACATCCTGGCAACACAGAGGCTTCCTGGGCCCCAATTCTTGTCTAGTAGGCTTCAAGTGGCACCACAGAACCCCAGGAAGAGGGCTGGGGATGTAGCTGAGTTGGTACCATGTTTGCCTAGCACACACAAGGCCCCTGGTTTCATCCCAGCACCCTACACAGTGTGATGGTGTCAGCCTATTATCCCAGAACTGAGAAGAGGGAAGGCAAGGGGGTCAGAAGTTCAAGGTCATCCTCAGCTAAATAGGGAATTTGAAAACAGCCTGGACAACAGGAGTCTGGGTGGAGAGGACCAGGGGTCGGGGCTGAGATAAATGCAAAGACAGACGGTTGATGTGAACTGCATTTGCTCAGAGGTAGAGGAGAGTAAATCAGGGGTGCTGGTACCCACGCCAGCGGGTGTCTCTACCCACCACCCCACTCAGGTATGCAGAGAGAGGCTGACCTGAAATCCATGGACTAGGATCCTCACCGTGTCCCCAACCCGGGCTCTGCTCGGCGTCATCACGATTTTGGGTCCTTTGGGAGCGACTGTATCAAGAGGAAGAATGAGTCAGAGAGGGGTGGTGGGCAGATGGGGTCAGCATGGGGGGGGGCAGGGCAGGAAGCAGAGCGCAGTCCAGAGGCTGATGTACTAGACATCAGCTCCGAGGAGGCTCATTCCTTCCCTCAGTCATGGCTGCCTCCTTCCATCTTCCCTGCGGCCTAAGACATGCCCCACCTCAGCCGGGATCTGGGGATTCAACGACACACACAAATCCATGGATCTCTGTCCTCGTGGTCTCACATCTCAGTAGGGGATGAGGGGAAGATATAAAAACTCATTGTCCCCTCTGCCCAGTTGAGGTCATGGAGGCTCAGAGAGTTCATTGTGATTTGCCAAAGGTCACACAGGGAGGAAGAATCAGGACCAAAATTCAGGCCTTCAGGCTCCCAAACCAGGATCCTCCTGCCAGTGGAACCTGTGTGTGTGTGTGTGTGTGTGTGTGTGTGTACAGAGTGAAGCTGCCGTCTCATTCCCGATCCAGACTTTGTTCTCCCTGCCTCCAGTCCTCTAACCCCCAGTCCCTCCTTCCTCAGATGCTCTGTAGGTGCTGAGGTGACGCAGTGCCCTGGGTGCCCCTTGCCCGTGGGAGACCAAAGGGCTGCCTGGATTTCTCTCCCTTCTTTTTCAGAGGGGAAAACCGGGGCCCACCATAATGAAGAGGCTTGTCCAAGGTCCCCACAGAGTCAATTACACATGTTGCCTGACTCCCCGCCCCTCGTTAATTCATTTGTTCACCCATTCAATAGTAATTACTGAGCTGACCATATGTCAGGCTTCGGAGCAGGGCTGGCGACTAGAAAACGGGACAGTGATAAAATCAAGTGTCCTGCAGCTTAGCCGTTAGTGGGGCTGACATTTAATTTGCAAACAGACTCAGCCCAGCTATGACCAGTGCTGTGTGCAGAGACTGAACCGAGCAGAGGCAGCCCATGGCTCCGCTCGTGGACGGGTGGCGGCCACAGCATCCCGGAGAAGTGAAGCCTGTGAGGTCAACTGGAGAGCTGGCGGGAGCCGGGGACAGACTCCACGGCTTCTAGGGCTGTCTTCCCCACTTAACTCGCAACAGAAATCAGGGCAGCAGGCAGATGTGAGCAGGCTCTGGGCTCTGCCAGTCTCGCTCTCTGAGAACAAGACCAAGGCACTTTTAATTAACTGAGAGGCTGCGTGGGCAGAGGGACGGGCCCAGCCTGCTGAGAGGGGAGGGCAGACTGGTGAGGGGAGGAGAGGATGGCTTCCACTGCTGCGTCCACCTGCCAGCTGCACGGAAGCAGCAGTGGCCAGGGACACTGGGGAGGTCCTACCAAGTCTAGTCTGGCAGAAGACAGGCTTGGGGATGGAAAGGCTTTGCCTCTAAGCCATCCCCCTCGCCCCTTCGATTAACCCTTCAGCCTCGAGAGCTTGCCCTGCAAGCATAGGAAGGCACAGAGAGGCCAAGCAACATTTTGCCTCCTCTTTTGATCTTGGGTGTTGTGGAGGAGTTGGGTTTGCAAAGGAGCAGGGCGGAGTGGGGTGGGGTGGGGTCAGCATGACCCACGGTGGTCTGTGTCACTGCCAGCCTCAACCAGCAGAGGGCGCTGAAAGGCTTCCGCTGCGACTTGGATGTCGGTCAGTGTTTCTGCAGAGGCTCAGAGAGACAGCTGACCACACAGCCTCCTCGGCTCCCTAAGCTGTTTACAGTGGCCCCCGTGTGCAGCTGACCCTGAGGGGCATAGAGGGTGGCCCAGGAGGGGTCTGCTCCACTCTTGTCCCTCAAAGCTCTCCTGCAGATGGGCATTTGCAGCAGATGTCCTTGAGCTCTTTCTCTCAAGGCTGCCGGGAGCCCCTTGTTTACGGAAGTCAGGCCAGCTGCTCCCACCTTCCTATCCCACCACCATCTGGAAGTCCATTTGCAGTTCCTGGCAAGCAAAGCCTGGCCCCATGGCTGCTCTGAGAGCACAACCCAGAGTGCCAAGCAGAGGTGTATACACAGTTCGGGTATTCAGGAGCTGGAGGACAGAATTCGGGCCCAAGATCTAGGCCTGGCCCTCTTAGGCTGTGTGGCATGGAGCATCAGCTCCGACTATCAGCTCATCTGTCCATCACTTGTCCAAGAGATGCTCTAAAAATGATGACAGGGAAAGGGATCAGGCCTCAGAGTGAAACTCCGGCTCAAGGGAACACAAAACTTCCCATTACCCTCCACCTGTGGCATTCTGGCTGTGTGTGAGGGTGGTATGAGTGGTCTCAAGGAAGGGCTCTTCTGGTACTCCCATGGAATTCTGGATTTTCACTAAGATAGTCACTTGTCCATCCATTTAACCATTCATCCAACCCACCCTCCCATCTACCCATCCATCCATCTACCTATCCATCCACCCACCCATCCATCCATCCATCCATCCACCCACCTACCAACCATCCATCCATCCATCCATCCATCCATCCATCCATCTACCCAACCATCCATCCATCCATCTACCCATCCATCAATACATCCATCCATCTACCCAACCATCCATCCATCCACCCATCCATCCATCCATCCATCCACCCACCCACCTACCCAACCATCCGTCCACCCATCCATTAATACATCCATCCATCCATGTACTCAACCATCCACCCATCCATCTACACATCCATCCATCCACCTAGTCACCTCCTATTCTATCTTTCCATCCACTCCATCCCACCATCCATCTACCCAACTGCCCCTCCATGTGCAGTATTGAGTTGTAGGAGTGAGGTGTTTGTCATATTTGAAAAAATAAATATGCTGTTTTCTCTAACTACTAGCGGTGATTATTCTGCACCCTCATCAAGTTTTGGTGTTGCTAGTTTTCAAAAATTTACCAAGGCTAATAGTCACAAATGCCATCTCTCTGAGGTTTTAATCTCCATTTCCCTGTTGGGTGTTTTGATAAGTCCATGGGCTGGCCTCAGTCACGAACACTTGCCTAGCATATGTTAGGCCCTGAGTTTGACCTCTCCAACATCGACAGCAAATACTGGCTGTCTCTCGTGTGTTTCTAGCTGGGACTCCTCTTCCCCTTTTGGTTTTATGAGGCTGTCTCTTTTCTGTTTCTGATTTTGTTTTGAGATGGAGCTTATGCCAGTCTAGGCTTTGAGCTGACCTCATCCTACAGGTGTACCTGAGGATGACCTTGGACTTCTTATTCTCCTGCCCCCACCTCCTAAATGCTGGTGCGCACAGCCGTGCCTGGCTTGAGGTTGTTTGTTTGTTTGTTTGTTTGTTTGTTTTGTTTTAACTGAGAGTATCTCCCCTCATTCTACACTTTGCCTTTTCACTCTCTTAAGTGTGTCTTCTCATGAGCCAAAGATCTGATTTTTTAGTCAGTCCAACCAACCAATTTTCAATTTTTCCTCTAGTTTTTTTTTTTTTCTTTTTTTATGACTGCTTTAAGGAATGCTGGCTACCTCAGCTCCATAAAGACATTTTTCTCCATTTTGTTCTAGAAGTTTTATGATGCTGGTTTTTACACCGGGGTCTATCAATCATCTCAGGTTAACCTGTGTGTGTGCCAGGCAGGGGCCAGGCCCGCCTCTCCCTCACTCCTGTTCTCTTGTTCTGGGGCCATGTGTTAGAGAACTCGTCTTTTACTCTCCAAACAGCCTCAGGGTCTCCATCAAAAAATCAATCAACTTTACCTGCAGGTCTATTTCTGGGCTCTCTTCTCTGCATCAGCCTAGGGTTTACACTGGAGGGTCTGGGCAGCTGTTTAATCTGAAGTTTGGGCTGATTTATATTTTAAGTTGATCAGTTGGGATGAAGAACAGTATGGGGCGGGGGGAATGGGAGCAGAAAAGGCCAGTTTGGAGGCCATGATGCACTCCAGGGCTGGCTGCAGAGCACTTGGATGGAAGTGGTGACCTGGACATGGGGAGACCATGAGAAAGTGAGTTATCCCCGAGGCTTCTGGGTGACCAGTGGGAAGAACGCAGTGTCACCACTGAGATGACCTTCAAGGCTACCCACACAAACCCCAGTCAGAGGGGCTTGAAAGAGATATGGTCAGCTGGATGGGCCAGCGAGACCAAAGCAGGCTTCCTGGGGGAAGCGGCACATGAGCCTCACAGGGCATTCCTGAGAAAGGAACGCAGGTGAGAGCGCAAGACCCACTACCTCAGACAAGCCCAGCTCTCGGTGGCCTGGTCTTCAAAGTCCTTGCTGGGTGTTTGGATTCTACCAATTTGTTCGCTCACAGCCTCTCTCAGAGTGCAGGCTCGCTCACTGTGCCAGGCCCCACTCATGACTCAGTGTGCCATAAACCACAACACTCAGGTAGGCGACACTAAGTCAGTGACTGAAGGAAGTGGACTCTAAGACAGGAAGCCCCAAGCTGTCGTGTGAAACCCAAGTCCCTCATCTAAAGGATGGGAATAAGGACATCGCCCCCAGTGGCCATCCAGGGTACTGCAGGGGTTCAAGCTAGCAGCCTAGCTTGTGGTTAAACCAACGGAGGCCCAGGACAGTCTAGGTAGAAAGAAAAGTTAGCCCAGGCTCTCACACTCACCTCAGGAGTCCTGGCTAGGCCTATGTCCCCGCTTCCCCAGTGGGTGTGACCATCCAGGCCCACTACCTGTTTCGCAAACATCTGCTGAATTAACAGAAGGAAAGTAGCTTGTGGCAGACAGGCGTCTAGCAAACAGCCCTTCTGGTGTACTGTGGGAGCTGCAGGTGTCTAATTCCATTTGGAAGGGACTTCGGGGACATGGCTCAAAGCCATCAAGGGCCCCTGGCCTTGGAGACGTGGAAGGTGCCAGTAGATGGGGCTGAAGAGCACAGCCCTGCTGGGTGGAACCCTAGCGGCTCAGGGCCGGAAGCTTCACTGACTGGAGCCTCAGTTTTGCTTATCGGTAATGAGACTACAAGTCGGGCTTCTATTAGTGTCAAGCAAATGCCCACCGAAGACCCACGCTTTTAACCCTAAACGCCCAGCCGATCTCTTGGAAACTTCCACTTTCTCCAGTCCAACAAACAGCATTCCCGAAGACCCCTCCCTGTCTCTCCCCTGGGCTGACCGGTCTCCATTTAACCCCCTCCCCCTGGCTTCCAGCCGCCGGAGGCTCCCATTGCAGGGCTACAACCTCTTATCTCTGACGGGCTGCAGAGGAGCCTGCCAGCTCTTACCCAGCGTGACCTCGGCCTGCATGGGCATGGAAAGCGCTGGGTGCTTGACCTCACAGCTGAAGAGGGCCTCATTGTCGATCTGCGGGTTGAGGGTCCAGGTGAGCAGGGCCCGCACCTCCACCGTGCCATCGCTGCCTGGGGTGCGGCTGTGGCGCAGGAAGTAGACCGGCTCGGAGCTGTGTACCCAGCGGGGGAACTCGCGGCTCACCACTGTTTCCGGGATGTTTTCCGTGGTGGGAGGCACGAGGAGGCTGGGGTCCTGGGTCAGGCTGCGCGAGGGGCGCTCCGTGTAGGGACGTCCAGCCCAGTATTCAGTGTCCAGCAGGGACAGTGACTTTTGCATTTTGGTGTCATCCACGTCTCGGTGCAGAAGGCTGCGGAAGGGCCTGCTGTCCTGGACTGGGCCAGAGCTGGCTGCTGGCAGTTCTGACAGGGGCACGGCATCTATCGGCTCCCCGTCACGTTTGAAATAAACCTACAGTGGCAAGCAGGACAGGGAAAGGGTAGTGAATGGATGGATGGTTTCCCCTCCTGATGGACTCTCAGCGCTAGAGAGAGATGGCTCAGCCCAACAGCATCATTGACAAGTTGGGGAGCCTTTTAGCCTCAGTTTCTCCACTTACGAAGAGAAATAAGACTACGGACTGCAGGGAGCAATTGGGGAGCTTGAAGGAAGTCACATGGTGGTGGTGGGAGAGGAGTTAGATGCCACTTAACTACCATGTGGGCTCTAGCATGGTCCATGGCTGCCCCGGGGGCATGTGGATGAGATGTGGATGAGGAGGGAACGCACAGAAATGAGGAGTGAGAAGAAGAGAGGTGTGTGTGAGCCTGAGCACGCGCGCATGCGCTCGTGTGCGTGTGTGTGTGAGTGTGTGTGTGTGTGTGTGTGTTCGTTCTGCCTGCTCATACAATTTGGTAATTTGGAGCTGCTAGGCAGAAAACAGGTGCAGGTGTGGGAGGGAGCTAGGTACAGGGATAAGGCGAAGGAAGATGTCCTCTCCCTTTCTCTGCTAATAGGGAATTCAAGTTTTGAGAGGCGGCATTTAATTTAATTTGCTGTCTTCTTATTCAGGTACATGCGCTCAGAAGCCTTCGGGGACTGGGTGTATTTTTTTTTAATAAATCAGATGAATAAATCGATAGGAGACAGGGAGAGAGAAGAGCAGGAAGTACCACACTGAGGGACTCCAGGGACTCCGTGGGTGTGAGGAGAGAAGCCTAGGTGTGGGCAGGTGGGGGAGGGGTGGGCTGGTGGAGGTTGATCCGTGGGTGTGGAAAACCTGTCAGAGTTTGAAACTCTGCAGAAGGATCTTCTGCACATAATGGTCTGCTTTAGGGGTCTGGTTTTTTTCTTCTTCCCCTTTCTTTTCTTTTTACCTTTTTTTTTTTTTTTTGAAAAGTGCTTCAAAAGCAGGTTTGTAATTTATATCAAAGAATCGCTTTCAAGTTCTGACGCTCTAGACAGACGTAAGATGCCTGGAATGTTAGAGAGAGAGGATCTTTCTTACAGACAGAGAACAAGGGGGGGGGAACAGGGAGGAAGAGAGTGAGAGAGGGGCCATTTAAGACATTGTGTCTTAGGTGGCAGCTATGTGGGGAGGTGGGAAAAGGTGCCCTCCTGTAGCCCCAGGGGCAGGGAACCCTCCCCTCATGGCTTTTTTTTTTTTCCCAGAGGAAAGACTAGCTTCTCTGACTCAGGGGAGGCAGGACATCCTTAGGGGATCGAAGGGGAGGCTTGTGGGCCACGTCCTCAGCATTCAGTGGCTCTAAGGCCACCTTTATCAACTGCTTGCTGGGGACTGCAGCGTGACTCTAAACCTGCCTACTGAGCCCTCACCACCATGCCTCTGTGCCTCACTAGTGACCTCACGACTGTAATCCAATGCCTCTGCATCCCTGACCCCTGACCCCTGACCTCCACATCTTCCATCGTTGACCTCTGTGCCCTGCACATGTCTCTGCACTCCGTCTGGCCCCCGCACCCTACCGTGGGTTATTCCTACACCTATCCCTTCCTCTGCCCTGGGCAGTTGACTTTGGGGTCTCAGGCTCTGGGTAGGGCTCATGAGGTCCTCAGGTCCCACCACTGGCCCGCTAATGAGAAACAGTCACTTTGGGAAGGAGGGGCCATTTACCTCTCCATCTGAATCCTAACTGCAGGTTCTCACTGCTCCAGCTCTGCCCTCCCCCCACCTCCATCTTGCTAAACCTGAGGACTGTATGGAATTCACTGGGTTGAGGTCTAGAGGGTGCTAAAATGCCCACCCTAGGATCACCCCCAAATGCAACTCAAAGGCTCTGATACAGGTGCATAGAGTGCTTCCAGGGGCCTTGAGGGCTCCACGCCTCCCTTGCTGGAAGTTAGACACATGAGGTTTCATTGATTCCTTGTTCAGTCAAAAGGGCCCCTGGCTTCTGAAACACTGATCGGGTCCCCCTCTTTGGGAGGGCTCCTGGTCAGGGTCAATCCTGGGGATTAGGGTGACCGGAAGCAGAACTCAGACTGGGTGCTCTGGATGCCTACCCCTCCCCATGACTGAGAACTCCACTCTTCTTTTTTTTCCTGCCCCTTCTCTCTCTTCCTTTTGGGGGTTTTCCCATGAATCCCATGGAGGCCTGGGTGGATCAGTATGCTTGAAGCATGAGATCACAAACTGGGCTCCCATCTCTATGGAAAATATTATGGAGTATAAAGAAGTCCCTTCTCACCTCTGGAGCCCAGTCAATGTTCCCTATTCCCCTCTGTATCTAGGATGGGGTGTACTGGGTGCTGGGATCTCCTGGAAGACCACCCTTACTGGAAAGATCTAGGACAGCAGGATGGGGCAGAGTCCAGCTGGGCAGACCACTTCCTGTCTGGGCACAGAAGGGATACCAGAAAAAGGTTCAGAGAATAGGTGGCTGGGCATACTGAGGGCTGGACCCCCAAGCACTTACCATGGGCGCTGGTTTCCCTCCAGACACGATGCAGACCAGCGTGAAGTTCTGGGCCTGGTACCGGCTGAAGGGGGCCGGGGAGTCAGCAGCCACAACTTCGATAGACGTGGGAGGAGCTTCCAAGGGGAAGGGCAGAAGAAGGGGACTCAGTTGGGGCACTCAGAAAGAGTTCTACTATGTCCCACACCAGGGGTTGATGCATGTCACCACACTAGGGTGAGCATGGGGTCCCTTGCTGAGGACACAGGAGAGGGCCCTGCTTCCTGGGACTTTTACTTCAGTGGCCTCAAGAGGCCATGAGGATTGGAGTAGTGAGTGCATCCAGCCCCAGAAAGTATCCTAGAAAAGGCATCCGAATGCAGAAGGGGACCCTGCCCCAGTGAAGAGGTTCTGGGGTGTCACTGCCAGAGAAGCCACTCTATGCTGTGACCCAAATAGCAGTAGTTGAGAAGAAGACAGAAATAGAACACGTGAGAACTCAGTGGTGGCCTGGAGTTGGGGGCCAGGTGAGCTGGGTACTCATGTTACCCTAAAAGCTAGGAAGAGGGGCAGGTCACGAGCAGGCCCAGTGAGTCGCAGGCACTTGTTATCTGAGCTAGAGCCTGCTCCAACCTGTTCAGAGGGCTATGACATTTTCAGGAATTTTGTGAACCAGCTGTTAAACTGTTATGAACTTGAAACTGATCCCTGTGGGTGTCTTTACACCATGATATCAGCAACTGCTACAGATCAAGGCCTCAATCCCTTCCTGCTCTGCTTCTAACCCCCAGAAAGCTGTGTGACCAGCTCATCACAGAGTTGTTCTCTCTCTCTCTTTCTCCTGAGAGTAGTGGGGAGCCACTGACAGCTTTAAGTGAGATCAGGGCCACTGTAACAACTTCCTTTTGAAGAGATGGAAAGTACCACATGGCTTTTAGCTGGACAAGACAGCGGCTTAGCCTCCATGAGCTGGGAATGAGGTAGACAAGTTACATAGCATCACCTGGAGCTGGCAGCTTCTTCTCTCTCCCTTCCTGGAACCCGGCTTACCGTGGACAGAAGCCTCCCTCTCACCTGCTCATCTCCCTCCACCCCTCTCTCACACCCCAGTTCAGTCACCACCATCCCCATGTCTGGGGGCCATTCCCACACTGTGAGCCTCTGGCCTCTCCTTTGTTAAATGGGCTTGGTGCTCAACAGATGCGGCTGTGGGACGGAACTCAGGGTTTGACCTAGCTTATCCTCAGGAATCCATGCTGGGAATTCAACTTTGAGATGCTTCTTTGCTGCAACCTCCTTGGCATCTGCAGGAGGTACCATCTTTGAACTCTGCTTGGGGCAGGCTGTCTGTTCTTGCTTCCCTGGCCTTGGACCTGTGTGCGATGGGTGGGGTGTGTGTGTGTATGTTTTGGAGGCGCGGGGGGGGATGAACAACAAATAACAGAGATGCTGGAGACCTGGCCTTCCTGCAGGGGCTTTTCACCCCAGTTGAGTTTAATTAAGTTGGGCAAGCGTTTCCTGACACCACCAGGTGTGGGGCTCTGTGCCAGGGGCCCGAGGCAGACATCCAGCAAGGAGGCAGACAGAGTGCAGAAAAGCCTGTCGGCTGGTGGGGGAGGCGAGCAAGGGCTGCTCTGTTTTAGGGCCCAGTGAGATGGAGCCAGGTATGAGCCCTCGATTCATTCAGGCAGCCACACATGCTGGGGGCAAGAGAAGGGAAGCCGAACGGGAAGCCTGAGAGAACAATAGAGGGAGAATTGTAATTAAGTGGAAGATGGCTTAAAACAGATGGTGAGTGGGGTAGGAATCCTGAGAACGGAAATGCACACCAGAACACTTCAATTACCCAGAAGTTGCAAACTCTGCAGTGTAACTTTCACAGAACAGCACTGAAAACAAGCTCTTACAGGAGAGCTCAGTGACGGCCCAGTCTTCCATGAGCAGCTGACTCTTCAGCCTCACTCTTGGCCTGGGTCATGGGTGTGATACTTTCCATTGTACAGATGGGGAAAGAAGAGATGTGGGAGCAGGCCCCCGCTCATGCAGCCAGCATGAGGTAGAGCTGGGATCTGAATAGTGGCAACCTGTCTCCACAGGATCTCTCTGTGTAGACTGGGCTAGCCTTGAATTCTTAGTGCTCTGCCTGTCTCTGCCTCCGTGTGCTGAGATCAATGCTGTGCACCATCAAATGCCTGGTCTGGTGCCCAGATTCTCACATCAGGCCTGCCCAGCCTTCAAAGGGGCCGGAACCTGTCCGTACCTTTTTCGCCAAACTTGAGCTGCTGCAAGTTCTCATTTCCTGGTACCCTACAGCACCTCCAGAGACCTGTGGTCCAGGGTCCTCAGGAACTGCATCTAGTTCTGCTGCCCCCAAAGGCTGAGGACCCTCCTTCCAGTCAGAGTTCAGCATAAGGTACTGCCCCCTAAGCTCACTGTCTGTGGTCCCTCTCACCTTTAGCGTCCCTCTGGCGGATTCCCATCCTCACCTCTTTCTCTACCTCCATCCCAACCTCTGTCAGTCACCAGCTCCATCTTTGGCCTCATTCCCAGCATACCTCCACCTCTATCAATCACCTCCCATCCTCATCCTCATCTCCAAAATGCTCTCATTAAAACTACATCCTCTAGAATGCTTCAGGGCCAGAAACAGAAGGTGGACCCTTCAAAATCACCACTCCCTCTGTGTTGCTGTATTCATTTTCTGTTGCTGATAGAAAACACCATGACCAAGGCAACTTACAAAGGAAAGTATTTAATTGAGCCTACAGTGCTAGAGGGCTTGAGTCTGTGATGGTGGAACAAAGGCATGGCAGCAGGAACAGCTGTGAGCTCGCATCTCAAACCCCAAGTGGGAGCCAGAGAGCACACTGGGAATGGCAGGAGCCTTTTGAAACCTCACAGCCCACCCCCAGTGACACATCTCCTCCAACAAGGCCACGCCTCCTACTCCTTCCCAAACAGTTCCACAACCTGGGGACCAAATATTCAGACATGAGTCTATGGAGGCCGTTCTCATTCAAACCACCACAGTCAACGTCACCAAGGTCACACTGAGGAAGGAAGCCTGCTCAAGCAGGGCATGAGGCATTGACTATATGGAACCTGAGAAGCCCTCCAGTGGTGATAATGAACGCGGCTGGCTCAGCTTTGTTTTTGCAGTGTTAGTGAAGGAGTCTAGAGCCTCCTGCTAGCTAAGAGCTCTGTCCCTGAGCTGCACATCCACTGCCACATCATTAGGAAGAAGGGAGGGAGCTTAGGGCTCTAGGCCAGAGCTCTCAAGCTTCAAAGACCAGCTGCTTTACTTGTCAGCTGTGTGACCTTGGACCTAACCTCTCGAAGTGTGTGTCTTACTTGCAGAATGGAATTAAAGGAGCTTCGGAAGATCCAATAAATGGAATGTGCAAATATTTTTAAAGCGTCCCCGTTATAGCAATAGCTGCCCTTCCTGATAGCTTTCCTTTTTAGGCTACTTGGCAGGGAGTGGGAGGATCAAGTCCGGTCTCTCCATGCAGTTAGCAAGGAGACCAGGAAGTGCTTGACACCTTTACCCTTGACCACAGTAGGCAACTATACCCTCTAGCATGGAAACACCCCAAATGCTGACAGTTTGAGCTCACTGGGAATATACTGGGAATGTAAAGAGCCCACCGAATTCCAAAGGCCTAATTATAAAAAGGACATTACAAGACGGCTGGAGAGATAACTTAGTAGTCAAGAACACTGGTTGCTCCTCCAGAGGACCTGGGTTCAATTCCCAGCACCCACATGGTGCCTCACAAATGTCTTAAATCCAGTCCCAGAGGATCTGGTACCCTTTTCTGGCCTTCGTAGACACTAGGCACACACATGAAGACACGAATGCAGACAAAACACCTGTACACGTAAAGTAAAAATCGTAAAAAAAAAAAAAAAGTTAGATATTGCCGCTGATAATTTTATATTGATTCTGTGTTAATGATATAACATTTTAGATACGTTAAGTATAAATATGTGATTAAATTCACTTTGCTCTTCTTTATAATTTATTTTAGCGTTTTCCGTGCGCTCACTGGGAGACGTACTGACTCATGGATGCCTCTTCAGTGTAGCTCTTGGCTTGGGTAGCTAGGCTTCCCATTTTACAGTCAAGTTTACTGGGGCCAGAGATGCACAGCTCTGCTTACATTCATACTGCAGGCAAATAGCAAAACCTCAGCTGGTGTCCAGCCTTCCAGATTCCGACAGCACGGATTTTCCCCAGCACACACGTACTCCCGCATACATGTACACCTGTGCATGCACAAACACTCATATACTTATAGACAAACACCCGTGCACACATGGATTCGTCCTAGAGCCTGACCGGAAGCTGTGCTCCATCCCTCCCGGCATTTTTGAACAGGTGTGAACACACATTCAAGCTCATAAGACCACAGAGGTTGTGTGGACGATGTTGAGTAGGAGCTGGCGGCATCGGTATGGAGAGCTAGAGCCTCGCACACTCTGCCCACCAGCGTCCCCCCCGCCCCGCCCTCCTCCCATGGGGCGCCATGTCCTGGAAGAATGTCACTCTATGTTACACCTTGTGTTGCCCCTTGGAAGGCTGAGTCCAAACAGAGAGCTGTTTCCACCTGGGAATACTGCCTACTTGCTGCTGCCCCACTCACGAGTCCATGTCACCGTGTCCCTTCTTCCCTTCCCTTCCCTTGACTAGGCCCAGCCATCTGTCCTAGATGGGCCCCTGCTTCCTAGGCACATTGCCTTTGCCCTTCCACCCTTGGTCTCCCTCAAGATACTCCCATCCCAACCTCCCTCTGCACTCCCATGGATGTCTCCATGAATCTTCATCCTCACCACTATCATCAGCTCTCTCCCTGGCTCCATCTGAATTTCCATCCACCTCCAGCCCTCCCCCCACCTACACCCTTCTGTCCACCTCCATGTCCACTGATATCTCCACCCCCTCCTCCACTCACCCTTTGACCTCCACCTCCACTTCCATCTCCATCCTCATCCTCATTACTCTTTTGAGACAGTCTCCTGTAGCCAATAAGGTCCTTGAACTTGATATGGAGTTGAGGATGACCTTGAACTTCTGATCCTCTTGCCTCTACCTCTTGAGTGCTAGCATTAGAAGTGAGCTAATACAGCTGGATGA